GGGGGCGGCCCCGCCCCCGCCTGGCAGCGCCTTGCCTGCCGCGGGCGGGCAGCGAGGCTGCCCGTGCGAGGGCACCTGTGCCCCGTGCGTGCCCAGCGGGGGCCGCGGGGGAACCCGGCTCCGCTCGGTGCCAGCTGAGCAGCAGGCTGACAGCTCCCTGGCTGCAAGAGCGAGGGCTATCCTAGGCTTTCCTGGGAGGCTGCGTCAGTGCCAGGAAAAGCAGGTCGGGTCTCCTGTTTGGTCCCGCGATTGCTCTGCGCCTGGCACCAGGCTCGGCAGTTTTCCATTTCTGCAGGCCCTGCTCCTGAGGGGTGCTGCCAGCGGCTCTGCATGGCCACGGAGGCATTTTGCATTAATGGGAGCATGCACAGCTCCCATGGCCTCTCTTCCTGGCCACCCCTTGGCTTCCGCAAGCCCCAGGGCGCTGACGCCCTTTCGGGCAGCTGCGGGTCCTCCTCTGCTGCTGGGTGCCTGGCTCGGAGCCCAGCAGTGCCTCCCCGGGGGCGGCTGCCCTGAGCCTGCGGTTTGGCACCTTGGCTTCGCGGTTGCCGTCCTCCTCCTTGCAGTCCCGTGCCAGCTGGGGAGGACAGGGGGACATTTTGAAAGGTGGTATGGCAGTGCCACAGCTCCCGCAGGTGTTCCTTACGCCTTGCTCAAGGGCCCGGCCTGGGTGACGGCGTGTGGCAACCCGGTTTGAGCCTCACTTGCGGAGCAAGCCTTGCTGCAGCATCCGCTCCGAAAGAGGAACGGGGAAGTGCAGCGCTGGCTTTTGCACAGGCTCTGCCAGGCAGGGGCATCGCAGCCCGGCGAGACGCCCCAGCACAATCCTGGCCGCGGCTGGGCAGGGCGCTTGGGTGCTGCCGTTGCACGCGGTGCCTCCCCGTGCCCGGGTCCGCGTGGTGGTTGCAGCGCAGACAGGGAGGTTTCCTGCTGCCCGGACCCTGGGCTGAGCAGAAGAAAGCAAGGGCTGCTGCCTGAATGAGCTCTTCGGCTCTGGTGTTTGCAGAGGGAGGGGGGACAGGGAGAAGCTGGAGCTGGGGGAAGTGGCCTGCAGCAAAAATGGGGCTGGAGCGCTCCTCATCCCGCCACCCTGGCCCAGTGGCTTTGCTGGCGGGGGGGCGGGTCCGT